ACCATTTGCTTTGTTCTGTTTGGGTTCTCAACTCGGTCCAGGAGGAGTTGGTGGCAAGATTTGGGTTTCTCGGCGTCGTGGCTAGGTCACCTTGTTGTGGTGATTATTTCTAAGGATCCTCGACAGATCTATCTTCGTGGGTCTTGAACTCTTGATCTATGCGACTGGGTTGCGGCTTTCTGGGTAGATCTGTTGGGTTTTTGTAGAGACTCATGGAGATTTGATTCGATCTACAGGCTTCTACGATGGGCTTGTGTCCTATCGTGGTTTTGAGTTCTTTGGGTTTGTAGTTTCGGTGAGGTTGGAGGTTGTCTCACGCTGCAGATTCTTTCGGCTTGCTTGCTCAAGCTCCTCTCTTCATGTCTCTTCTCCCCTTAGGTAGAGTGAAGTGCCAAGCTCTCTTTCCTCTTTGCAAGTTTCTCTCTGGTTGGAGTCTGGTTGCTAGGAGTGGGTTCTCCGTGGTAGTGACCTTCGACGGTGGATGTTTTGGTCTCCCGGTGCCGGGTTTGTCCCTCGTCTTGGTAAGATCGGAGGTTTGATGGTAGTGTCGTTGTTGCTGGTTTTTCTCCAACGATTGCGTGGTTGTTGTTTCTGATCTTGCCTGCTTTTGTAGCTTTCTTCGATGGTTCCTATTGCTTTCCTCACCTGTTATGGGTTTATATGGTGTGGTGAAGTGTAGTGTCTTCTGTTGGTTGTTGGTGTGATGGTTCCAGACTTGGTTTGGTGCTGGATCTTGGTGGCTTTCTCTTATTTTGTAGGGTTATTTTCTTTGCTTAGGTCATTAGGATTCTATCTGGTTCCGATTCGGTTGTTGGCTCATTCATCGTTCTCGGCTTCAGCTTGGATAATGTTGGTTCGCTCCTTGTTTCTACATCACAGATCAGTTCGGGATCTGCTCATATCGTACGGTTTCCATCGAGGTGTTGGTACAATAAATTTTGTCTCCACCGTTTTTAGAAGATTTAGGAGTACTAGGTTGTACTTTCTTTTTGACAAAGTATGAAGCCTTGGTCTTACTCTTTCAAAGGTATACTGATTCGCCATAGAAAGATTCGTCGTGTGGTTCTTTCCGTGATTCTTGTGAAGTTTGCTAGTTTCGTTCTCTTGAATTAGCATTGTTTCAGTATTTTATCAGTCTTGTATTTCATGGATCTTGTACTTCGTCGAGTCTTGTAAAATGTCTGTGATTCCTTTCATGCTAATATATGGAAAAAAAAAAAAACATAATTAACATAAACGAAGCTAAATTTTGGAGAACTAGAAGACAATAAAATATTGGTAAAGCTCAAATGTACGGTATGATTCATTTTTCGAATTTCTCACATATTTTCAAATGTACATATATAAGTAATATTATTATAATGTCTCCTAACTATATTTAATCACTAATTCAAGTAAATATATAATGAAGAATAAAATTAAAAAATAGAGAAAGAAACTTTCTCACTTTGACAAATTTAAATTTATTAGTGTAAGAAAGTTCTTGTTCATAAAAAATATTTGCGACCATAAATAAAGGGAATCGCATTGCTTTATTCGTTGACATCCTGCTCATATGCATTCCAAGAAGATAATAATAATAGGGAAATTATGCTCAATAACCTTTCGACCAAAAAAAAAAAACCATAATTAACCAATTCATTTGTTATCTTGTGGCTATTATTGCTCCACATAAACCATTGTTGGTTAGTTATTAAGTTATAACTTTTTTGGTTATTCACCGAATTTACGTTCAATTTTAAGTTCACTAGTCATCATATATGCAATTTGTTTTTATAAAAAAAAAAATGAAAATATAGGTATTCAGATATGAAAATCAAAACTTCTGCAAATGTATATATTAAACCACTTGTTAGATATCTAAATCGAGTTGACGTATATATAACTATTAGAATAGAACTCGCGTAATACGCGGGTAAATACATTAAATATACTAATATCAAAATTTAAGTTTTAATTAGTAACCCATTTAATTACAAAAATATTTTAAAATATTTAAACATGGATCTCAAACCATTAAATTTTAATTTATATCTTAATTCTCATATCCTAATTCATATTATGCAGGCTAAA